CCCTCCACCCCCCAAACTGCCCACTCGCCACTCCCCACTCCCACTGACTGCCTGCCCGCCCTCACATTACCCAGGAATCAAACTACAGGCACTTCACAAAGACATTGTTTTAACCATCTCCCCCCCCTTCCTGTTTGAGTGATAACAATGGTGGAGATGTCCTGTCCATGGACACCCTCAGCAGGTGATCACAGAGATCCTGTAAACTACAACATTGTGGCTGGGATCGATCGGATTGTCCAGGCTCCAGTCCCTGTAATAAGATGCATTTATATAGATTTCTCTGATCATGCTATGAAGTGTGCTAAGAATTGGGTCTTGAGAACTGTAAACTGTTCATTAATGAACGAGCAGGCTTCCAGATGAGAACAAGGATTTGAATTCAACTACGCTCCCTCTCCAAAACTGAGGCGGCCTCCATCAAGCAAAGGAAGACAAACTGTTAGCAGATTGAAAAACCAAAACTGGACATTCATTATGCGTTGTGGAATATCAGCAGCAGGAGAATTATAGTATTTTCAGTCAATTTATTCATTCGTAACACCTTCAGGGCATGTAGGATGAGAGGAATGGACACCACCACTGTGCCACAAGATGCTAGCAGGGAAATTATATTCAGCATAACTTGTAACTTTATTTCAAGGTGTGTATCTCAGTCCCTGATCAGCACCATACATGGGTATCAACAATGAATTAATTCATGCAGAATCACTGAAAACCTACACAACTAGTAGTCAACTACCTTTTTTTAAATTCAGTTGTGGGATATGGGCATTGCTGCCTGGACCAGCATTTATAGCCCATTCCTCATTGTTAAGAGTGAACCACATTGTTGTGGGTCTGGAGTCACATGTAGGCCAGACTAGATAAGGATGGCAGATTTCCTTCCCTAAATGGCATCAGTGAACCAGATGGGCTTTTCCTGACAATCATCAATGGTTTAATAGTCATCATTAGATTCTTAATTCCAGATTATTATTGGATTCAAATTCTATCATCTGCCACAGCAGGATTTGTACCGAAGTCCCTGGAGCATTACCTGGGTCTCTGGATTAATAGTCTAGCGATAATACCACTAGGCTATTGCCTATTTGCATGCTAAACATCAAAGCTAACAGGCAGGAGCAAATTATTGCAGATACTAGAATCTGTACCGAAAACAGCAAATGTCAGAGATCATAGCAGGTCAGACAGCATCCTGAACTATCAACATCTTTTTGCCACCAGCACCCTACACCATTCCCCCTCCCCCCCTGCAAACTATAGCATACACGTTGTCACCTCCACACTTCAGATCTGATGGAGAGTCATCTAGACTCAAAAAGGCAACAGCCAATTGCCAAAGCTTTTAAAATCCAGCTAACAACAGATTAGGGCCTGTACCTAACGTTTTATCCAACACTGCAGCACTCCCTGTGGTACTGCACTTGAGCGTCTGCCTTGCTTTTTAAGCTCAGGTCCTAGGGTTAGCTCACAACTTGGACAAAGGCAAGGGACACCAACCCAACAAAGGCTATCAAATGAACAAACTTTGACATTTGTGCCACGGAGATTATAGCTGCATTGAGCAGTAGCTGACAGAAAAGGGGAAAGGAGATTGAGTCTATTCGGAACACCTCAGAACTTCCAGTGGAATTGTGCAAAAGCTGCCATATCCCAGTGCTAGCTATCTCCTGAATTCATGTTCTTCACGCTGTTGAGTTTCAGGTGTTAAAATACATTATACACCATTTCCTCTTGCATGAAAAATTGTAGCATGTTTTAGAAAGACAATATAATAGAGGAGTTTGCAAGAAGTAGCAAGTGAAAATTAGTCAGAGATGTGAGAGAAATAGCTTGCGAAGTGGAATATGAAATGTTTTGATTGTCCACATGAGCATTTCCCATTAAAGAACTTAGGTAGCCTCAGTGCAGGATCCTGGGGTCCAGCCCAGTGTACTGAGAAAGGTTAATTGTTCAAGGTGATTCTTAAACAGGCAAGGCACCTACTTGTATCCAAGCTATGTAGAAAAGCCAGTGAATCAGCCAGCCTGCTTAAAAATGTGGTGGTTGAACTTATTACAGCATTGCCTAGAATCATTGAGAGTTAGCACACTTTCTGTGCCACTTCTCTTCAGGGAACTGGAATCAATTAAAACTCTTTCGATAGTGTAAGAGGGGCAAGATCCGATCAGTTTTACATTGTGTATCTTTCCCAAATTTTCATTCCTCATCTGTCTAGAAGATATAAAAACATTACATTTAGACAAAGATGGGGGATAATTTCCCTCAACCAACATCATCAAATCAGTCTATTGTCTTCCAATTTTTTTTTTCTGAAGGGTCCAGATCCGAAACTTTCAGCTTTCCTGCTCGGCCTGCTGTGTTCATCCAGCTCTACACCTTGTTAGGAACAAAAACAAAAGTTGCTGGAAAAGCTCAGCAAGTCTGGCAGCATCTGTGGAGGAGAAAACAGAGTTAACGTTTCGGGTCCGGTGACCCTTTCTCAGAACTGATGGTGGCTGGGGAAATGTCAGTTTATATGCAGAAAATAGGGAGGTGAGTGGGGTAGGGAGTAAACGATAGGATAGAGCCCAAAGAGAGAGAAAGACAGTTGGACAGTCAAAGGAGTTGCTAACGATCAGGCTGGGAGGGTGAATAGTTGTTAATGGGGACTGTTAGTGACTAACAGGGGGTGTGTAGTAGCAGGCTATGTGGTAACAAAGCCTGGTGTGTGGAGTGGAGGGCTGAGACATGGGAGAGTTTAGGCCCTAAAATTATTGAACTCAATATTGAGTCCGGAGGCCTGTACGGTCCCCAAGCGGAAAATGAGGTGTTGTTCCTCCAGCTTGCGTTGGCCTTCCCTGGACCACTGTAGCAAGCCGGAGACAGAGATGTTGGCCAGAGAGCAGGGTGGTGCATTGAAGTGGCAGGCAACAGGCCTTGTTATCTCTATTGTCTTTCAATTGTTGCTTCTACTTAACTCTTCAAAGGTAATTTACTCACTATGAAGTGTTGAGGATATGAAGGGTAAAGTGTAAATATAGTCTTTCTTAATCTAGAAATAACAAGGGATCAGAGAAAACAAGCACATATGCTTTAAGATGTTGAAATATGTTTATAAACAGAAAAGCTTTAAAACTATTTTTGATCAAACCACTAGGTATGAAATTTGTTTCTTGAGTTGAAAAAAAAATGTTAAATTTGCCATATCCAAATATTTTATGTATTGGTGATGATCGTTTGAGTCTGTGACTGGAATGGGACACTTCAAGTTGTTGTCACTACAAATCGTTTTAGGCATCGTCAATCATTCAAAAAGGCAGGAAGACAATGAGAATGGTTGACAACTTTCTGTGAAGGGTTAGAGTGTGACAGCCTCCAGTCAGTCCACAGCTTGTGACTTGATTGATTACTTAAAAGGAATTAGAGAAAGTTTCTTCAAATCGATCTTTATCTTTTGTCTCTTACTGGAGATTGTGAGGCAGTGTGCGGTAGAAAGGGAATATATAAAATACAGGAGTTCCAAAAGCTGACCAGCAACTTGCTATAAACCCCGTTGAGACTCCAGTTAAGTTCACTGTGTCCTTAAAGTTGGTTTGTCTTTCCTTTGAATGCAATGTACTTGTACTACAATGAACATGTACTTTCCTGCAGGGTTGTGCACAAGAACAAAGCCTAAAACACCAGAAACTGAGAAAAACAGACAACTGCAAGTTATAAAGAAGGTCAATATATTTATTAAATATATCAGGAGTGAAGATTTAATTACTCTGGATCCTACAATTGACACTGAAAAAGAGAATAACGGAAAATGCTAGGAATACTTAAATCAGGCAGCATCTCTGGACAGGAAAAGTTTCAGTTTGAATTCTCCTGTTATCATCTTCCTGGAGTATTTCCAAAAATTTAAATTTTGGGTCTCTCGGTATTTTGTTTTCACTTTAACGAAATGTAGGATTCCACTCCATAATCAACAAAATATGAATATGTGCTCATTCTGATTTCACCAACGTAAACACCCAGCCCACTTTGGCTACACAAGCAATTAGCAAATTACTTGGATTAATACCAATTTCAGCAATGTTTTTATATGTTTGTTAACAAAATAATGCAAGTTGATGGTTGAAAAGCTTCAGAATGTTACCTAAGATTAGGGTTGTGAAATAGGATGAGGGATTCAGAGGTTCCAAAGTGCAATTCTGCTTAAAACGTTTCTATGAACATACAATAGCCTTGGAGATACACAAGACGTGCAGCCAATTTTTTATGCTACACTAATCCCACAATCTTAACAATGAGTCCATCCTGGTCTTGTAGCAAATAGAACAGTTTCTCATATTGTACCACAATCAACTTAGGCATCAAATCCATTATCGCCTCTAGACTACCAGTCAAATGTACAGAATTGTACAGAACAGCTACACAACACATTGGGCAATACTGTTTCCTGATTGATCACCTGCAAATTGTACAACTCAAAATACTGAACCACAATACAAAAGAGATAATGGAAAGCTGCATTTGGTGCACTAATTCAACTGACAGAATGGCCTATCCACCTGGTCAGACTCGTGAACCCAACAATGTACTGCATTTAGAAGCAAATGACCTTCTGCATAAATAATTTTTTTTTTACATGAAGTTAGAATGAGTTAGTAACAAAATATTACATTCAAGCACCAAATGACCTGCACCGAGTGGTAAGTTAAGCTCTCTCCTGCCATTTGTCCTCATTTGAGTTTGATCAGGAAGGACCAACTGAAGGCTATGTGGATATTTACTCCCAACTTGGAAGGTTGGAGGAACACAGAATAAAGATAAATCCAGCAACTCCTTTCACTTTGTATCAATTGGCATTCCAACATTCAGGATCTGTGAAGTGTATGGAATAGACTCACATCCACATCACATTCCATTACAGACACTTCAACGATCCACTCTTTCGGGATCCCCTTTCCTTAGATAAATATCTATTTCAATATTTCACATGGTACACCAAAATAAAAAAATCACACCAGCTATCACCCTCCTGACTTAACCCTGCTCAGTTTTATTTATCCATTTCCTGCTCCTGGTAATTTTCAGTCTTCATGTCATTCAAACCAAGTTCCTCATTATCTTCAAACGTGCGCTCATACTTTTCAATCTTCATTTCTGGATCAGGATCTGGGGCATATAAATTCTACAGAGAGAGAAAGAGAGGAAAACAAGCAAATGAGTTAGGAATGCAGCCCAATAATAATAATTAAATCCCATTCCCAAACACCAGGCTGTACCCTGTACCTTGTCTCTTCTGTCATTATAGCACTTCCCAAATCAAAAAAAACAGTTCAAGTCATCACTACAAAATATTTATGGAATTTCCTTTTCTCACAGCAGTTACTCACTGAAAACAAAAGGCTGTGGAGCTTGAAGTGACCAGTCACTTGATATTAATTCTGGACAAAGGACAGCGAAACCTCAGGTGTAGAGACACAACCAGGACAAAGGCAGTTAGCAATCTCTGAAACTGCTTCATCACACCAGTTGTGCAAATGCCATTTTGGTTCCATGTTCTGGGAATAACTGATTATCTCATCAGTGGGGACATTCCTGTTTTTGACTGGGGGGGCGTACAGGGAATCAAATAGTATGTTCAGATCGTTTAAGTTGCTTTTTTGTACACAGCCTGCAGTACATGCGAGGTTGTTACCCCACCCCGCTGTGTTTAAACAGGTGAAGCTATTCCAGCAGCACTTACCTGGAGATAACTGTTTCCTGCCGAATCTTTAAGAATGATGTGAGCTTCTCTCTTACCTGCAATAATCTGAAGGAAAAAATAAACAGAATTAAATTCAATTTTAAAAAGAGAGTTCAGCCAAAGCACAGAAAAATACAAAAATAGTTGGAAGTTAAGCTGCACAGGTTTGAGGAATCTCAGCCACTGATGTGGCTCACCTGACAAGTGGCCACACGCAGCATAGCAGCTTTTCTCATCAGTACTTACATCAGTACACAATGTAGCTGCTGCTACAAATACCATTGGGATATTTTACTTGGTGTTTTATCAATGATCTTCACAGCAGCAAAGTCAAACAATTTGATAAGAGTTTGGTCAAAGAGATGTCTTTTAAGGAACATTTTATAAAAAGGAAAAATGTGGAGTTGCAGGGGTTGGGGTATTGAATTCCAGAGTTTAGGCTCTTAGCAACTTCATATCTTTTTACCAATGGTGGAGTGATGAAATTTGAAGATGCTCAAGAGGCCAAAATTAGAGGAGCCAAGAGAGCTTGGAGGGTTATGGTACTTGGAGACCACAAAGACAGGTAGGATTTTGAAAGCAAGAGTTAGAAATTTAAGTCACTTTTAGCTACACTATGAACTACAGAACAATGCAATATGACTCTAACAGTCCTAGTATCCCATAGAAAAAAAAGTGGGAATAAATTCCACAGACAAAATCCCGGAGAATGTGCCAGTGGCCATGCAGTAAACCTAATCCCATATCCACTCATACAGGGTGGAGTATATACACAGAAAGGAGAAACAATGAATGATAAAACCGTCGACTATGCCTTCAGTGATACTGAAGATTAGAATCAAGTTCTCTGCCTGTGAATCACTCCGCCTTCTGTTACTGTCTACAGACAAAGAATTATTCACTGTCAGCTATTTTATTTTGATTGCCAACTTCCAGAGAGCCAACCACACACCAACAGACTCCCTCAACGCAATCAATTCCTTACTTCACTGCATTTTACAGTGGAACAGCAAGTCCTGCAAACATGAGAATTGGAACAGCATTTACATAAAGTTCAACCATGGAGAAAGGTGCTAGCTGGAGGTCACTCCAGTAAAGCATTAGGTTTATTTTAAAATAGTAATTGGTTTTGAGTCTGGTTCAGCTTCCAGTCACTGCTCAGTGCCAGCAGGATTCACTCGTACAGGGTGAGCTACAACAGGACCATTAAGCACAAGGCCAGAAGCGCAATGGATATTGCGCCTGACTCCGGATCAGGAGACTGTAGGTTTGACTCCTACCTGGCTCAACTGTAAATTGCACATTGGGGCACACGGTGCCCCAGTGGTTAGCATTGCTGCCTCACAGTGCCAGGGACCTGGGTTAAATTCCAGCCTCAGGCGACTGTCTGTGTGAAGTTGGCACATTCTGCGTCTGGGTGGGTTTCCTTCGGGTGCTCCAGTTTCCTCTCAGTCCAAAAGATGTGCATGTTATGTGGATTAGCCATAGGAAATGCAGAGTTGTGGGGTAGAGGGCCGAGTCCAGGTGGAATGCTCTTTGGAAGGTTGGTGTGGACTCGATAAGCCGAATGGCCTTCTTCCACACTGTAGGGATTCTATGATCGTGAAACTAGTCTGATGCATACTTCAACTAGACAGAACTGGAGGAACACTTCATTAGTTCATCTGAAGAATAAATCAAAATTTTTATATATGAAATTCAGCAGTTAATCACTTCTTTTACCTCATCCAACTTCTGCCCAAATTCTCTGAGCTTTTCAGATTTTTGAGGAGCAGAGCTATCCCCAGCAAAAAATGGATTCTTTGCCATAATCTACAAATAAGAAGTAAACAGTGAGATATCCCACAAGCCACTTTTCAAACTCTCAGAACAACAAACAAGTTGGAGTTCAGTATTAACAGCCAAGATTGGCACAATCTCCGAAATAATCTGTATTGCTTTTCCATTTGTTGCAAACCATGCAGGATCAGTGGTGCTTAAATGTCTGTACAAACGCTTTAGTATAACATTAAAGATCTGTTACAGCGTTCAGATGAGATGTGTTCATTGCTTACAGCCCTTTGACTCTGTGCTGCTTTGTAATGCTCCCAAACATGGAGTAATATGTTCTGTGTGTGTCTGTTGCTTCAACACAAACTAAAATTTATTAACCAGAACTATCCAAAGAGTTGTACATAGGTTAAAGATGCAATTCAACAACTGAATGCCGGGAGAAGGAATGGCCAATTCTCAAAGTCCAACACACTTTACAAGCATCTGCTTTGATGGCAGAGTTGGTACGTTTTAAACAAGAGAAATGCTTGCTTATTTCTAATACTTCCCAGAAAGTGAACCCACATTTCTTGCTCAAAAACAAAGTTGCTGGAAAAGCTCAGCAGGTCTGGTAGCATCTGTGAAGAAAAAAAATCAAAGTTAACGTTTCGGGTCCAGTGACCCTTCCTCAGAACTTTTCTTGCTGCTGTTTCCCATTTACCCTTCAATGGTTTTTATTTTATGGCCTAGTGGTATTATCGCTGGACTGTTAATCCAGGGAGCCAGGAAACATTCTGGGACCGGAGTTCAAATCCCACTTTGGCAGATGTTGGAATTTGAATTCAATAAAAATATCTGGAATTAAGAATCTAATGAGACCATGAACCCATTGTCAATTGTCGGAAAAACCCATCTGGTTCACTAATGTCCTTTCTTACCTGCCATTCTTACCTGGTCTGGCCTACATGTGACTTCAGAGCCACAGTAATGTGGCTGACTCTGAACTGCCTTCTAGGCAATTAGGGATGGGCAATAAATGCCGCCTAGCCAGCGACGCCCTCATTCCATAAATGAATAAAGAAAACAAAAATTATGTAACAACACTGTTTCTCTGTGGGATTGAGGAAGGATGAGGGCAAGAGTAAGAACGAGCACCAGGTCTCTGCCTCCATTGGCCCTAGACAAGTTGAAAGTATCACAAACATCTGCCATTGTTTCCAGCATTTCCGGGTACAGAATATTGATAAAGTTTAGAAGAATAAACATTTCTCACCAATTCTTTCACATCTGTCAGCAACCCTTCTAAAGTGGTGAACTTTCCTCCAAGAATGCCCATTCCGAGCTGAAATTCCAGCTCTGGAATAGAGATGGTGCAGGTTTCAGACTGCAAAAGGTAAAAAAGACAGAATTACAAATTGTACTGACACACCCATGAAAAGCACAACTCAATTATAAATCATGTCAAGTCATGCTCTGAGCCAAGCTGTCCAGTACACTTACAACACAGGCATCTACCTGGCTAAGTGGAGAATTACCCAGGTACATCCTATCCACAAAAAGTAAGACAAATCCAAAACTAGCCTATACCCACTGCCCCATCAGTCTACTCTTGATCATAATAAAGTGACAAAAGGGGTCATCAATGGTGCTATCAAGCAGCACCTGCTCAGCAACACCCAGTTTGGGTTCCATAAGGACCACTCAGCTCCTGACCTCATTACAGCTTTGGTTCCAACAAGGACAAAAGAGCTGAATTCCAGAAATGAGGTCAGAGACATCAAGGCTGCATTTGACTGAGTATACGATTGAGTCATCCTAGGAAAACTGGAGTCAATGGTAATCAAGGAGAAAACATTTCACTGGATGGAGTCAAACCTAGCACAAAGGAAGATGGTTGTGGTTACTGTAGATCAATCACCTCAGCTTCAGGACAACTCTGCAGGAGTTCCTCAGGGTAGTGTCCATCTTCAGCTGCTTCATCATAAGGTCAAAATTGGGAATGTTCATTGATCATTGAAGAACGTGCATCACCATTTGCAAATCGTTGTCCATATGCACCATGATCTGAACTATATCCAGGCTTGGTCTGATACATAGCAAGTAACAGTCAAGTAACACAAGTACAAGGCAATGACCATCTCCAACAAGAAAGAATCTAATCTTCACCCTTTGACCAGAAACTGAACTGAACTAGCCATATAAATACTGTAGCTGCAACAGCAGGTCAGAGGCTGAGAATCCTGTAGCAAGTAACTTACCTCCTGACTCCCCAAAGACTGTCCACAATTTATAAGGTGTAAGTCAATAGAGTGAAGGAATACTCCCTATTTGAGTGGATGAGCACAGCTCCAACAACACAAGAAATCTGACATCATCCAGGATGAAGGAGCCTGCTTGATTGGCACCACATCCATCACTTTCAACATTCACTCCCTCCATTAACAATGTAATGGCAGCAGCATCTACCAGTTACAAGATGCACTGCAACAATTGGTCAAGCCTCCTTCAACAGAACCTTCTAAATCCATGACTCTACCAGGTTGAAGGACAAGGGTGGCAAATACAATGGAACACTATCACGTTCAAGTTACCAATCAAACTCATGATCCAATACATCGCCAACCCTTCTCTGTCATTGGGGTGAAATCCCACAACTCCCTCCCTACACCACATGAACTGCAGAGTTCAAGGCGGCACTTCATCACCACCTACTCCAGGGCAATAAATACTGACCTTGCAAGCACACCCACATCCCATAAACAAAAATGCGCGGTCTGTAAAGTTATAATCATCCACAATTCAACAGGTTCATTCAAGTGTAAAAAGTTCAACAGCAGAACACATTACAAAGCTCATCAATCACATAACACTGCTGCAAACTATCATCAGGAAGCAATGCTGTACCTTCAGCAAGTCTCTGCTCATGTCAGAAGGGTCCGTAATCCGCAGTGTGATTTTAGTGCCCAGAGGCTCTGTGGCACCTCCGGACTTCACCTAAAAATTGCAAAATACAAAAGAAATAGGCAATATTATACAATTCCACCTGTTCCCTTTTTCTCCCCAACAATCACCTCTGCCATCCTCCCATTCTGACTCCTTGCTAGGTGCCACAACACCCGAACTCTTGTCCTTCACACAAGAATTCTCTCTTTTTCTCGAGGCTGTTTGACCACAGTGTACATCAGTCAGACAGGATCCATTTCTGAAGGGTCTAGGCCCGAAATGTCAGCCTTCCTGCTCCTCTGATGCTGCTTGGCCTGCTGTGTTCATCCAGCTCTACACCTTGTTATCTCAGATTCTCCAGCATCTGCAGTTCCCACTATCTCAAACAATTTTAACCCCACTGCAAAGCCTCTTCTAAGGATGCCTACCCTGAAGAAGTTACCCTCCTCCCTCCGGAAAAACCTCAGTGGATCTCTCTCCCACTGCAACTCTCTCGTAATCTCTTCGGCCTTGAAAATGCTCGACCACATCCTGAAGCAAACCAGGTACTACAGCCACATCACCTTTCTTAGTACCTGCCTACGGAACCAGATCTTCCCCAATGGACTACAGTCCACATTTAGGCCTTCCAAATTTGGCCCCAACCATGACAATGTCTACATTCAGAACATTGAGATCCTTCAAAACCGTTTCTCCCTGCGATTCCTGAAACACACACTCGCAGCAATGCGCCGGCATCTCCTGGCACTACAATCAAGCCTACCCCAGCTCAGAGCCTCCCTCTCCCCAACCTGCAAAGGACCTCTCCTGTTTTTTATTCTTCGTAGGATCCACAACCTGAACTCACAATTCTACTTAGCTTTATTGGGCACAAAAAACCGTAAGTACAGTAAACTTACTGGTGCCTACCACCCAAAACGGGCTTCCTCCACCTCCCAAATCCCCAACCCGACCCAGGACCTTCCCCACAATGTGCCCGCCACCATTGGCCATGTGGCTACTGTCGGAGCACCCATGGATGACGTCCCATTTCTGAAGAAGGGTCTAGGCCCGAAACGTCAGCGTTCCTGCTCCTCTGATGCTGCTTGGCCTGCTGTGTTCATCCAGCTCTACACCTTGTTGTCTCGTTAAGTCAGACAATAGCTCATTTCTGCATTCCAACAGAGACTTCCCTGCATAAATACTTCATTACGTGGAAAGCACTTCCAATACATGGTGGTTGTGAAAGGCAGAATACACGTATGCAAGTTTTTCATTGTTCCTCGAACTTCGCAACAGGTCACTAAATAATGAGCAGGAGCTAGTCCTTTTTTAAAAAAATTCTTTAGCCCAATGGCATAAATGGGGCAACTATAGCACTGCTGCTTCAGTTTGAATGGAGTTAGCTCATCAGAGCAGGGTTTGGGATCTCACTGGCCTGCAGGAACAAACACAAACCTTTATTCAGAGCTAGTAGGAACTGCAGATGCTGGAGAATCTGAGATAACAAGGTGTAGAGCTAGATGAACACAGCAGGCCAAGCAGCATCAGAGAAGCAGGAAAGCTGACGTTTCGGGCCTAGACCTTTCTTCATTTCTGAAGGGTCTAGGCCTGAAACTTCAGCTTTCCTGCTCCTCTGATGCTGCTTAGCCTGCTGTGTTCATCCAGCTCTACACCTTGTCATCTCTTTATTCAGAGCTTTTGCTCAAGTATGAGTCTATACTGCTGCATGATTTCTATTCAAAACCAGATCTTCACTGGCTTTGCTATATTACACAGCAGCAGCATGTAATTGCCTTTCGCAAGGGCAGTACCTGAGTAACTGACAGATTTAGTGTAGGGAAGAGGGCTGTGTTGCTACTGCATGATATAGACAGTCACAGTGAATGTACAAACCTGAAACTCTCCACAGTTAACCTGCACTCTCTCGGTGCCACAGGGGAGACAGTTAGTGACAGTGGTTGGGAAAGTATCACCCAGGCTACTCTGATGCCAGTCTAGACTAGCAGCATTAGAAGTCACGGATTAGCTCATCAGATTATCCTATTTGGAATGATGAGGGCCTAGCGCAGATAAATCTAAAGAGGAACCAATTTCTGCACAGGACAAAAGAATGGGAGAGGCAAAATTACCTTTCACAATGCCAGTGTCAATACTTCAGTCTTCGTCCCACACCCAAAGGACTCTGTTCCCCACCCCATGATAAATTAGAAAGCTGGAACATTTGTGAAAGTTACCTCATTGGTCCTGTGTCCACAAGCTCCACAGTTTGTTGCCATGATGATCACCTCCTTAAAGTGTGGGATCTCTAGGAATCTGTGATGAAGAAAAACACTGGCACTACTCAAGGGGAAGCGATTGCAAATGCAGGGCAGTGTGGCTCTAAGTGGGAGTCAGCATGCTGCCACTGTCCTTGCCAAGCATAAATTTTGGCAACAAAAGCAAAAAAAAAATCAAAAAGAATGGATTTATGAGAGTATTGTTAATTCTTGCCAGGTGCATGTGTATATTCTAATCCCATTGGGAACCTGACATGAAATTCAAGGACATTCAATGACTGAGCGAAGCAACCTATGAATAGCAAACATTTGAATAGGCAAACCCTGGTTCATTGCCTTTTACTGTAGGCCAATCATGATGTTATGATGCAAATAATTCCTTTCATAACCAGTTGAGCAGTCATCCACACCATTTCTCAGACTGCTTCAAAAAAAATTTTAAGAAGAGTATAGATATGATGATTCAATGTGTAATAAACCCCATATCATCCAAAACCAAAGGGTCTTTTGTCCTGACCAAAAGGCAAAGAGTTGGAAATCTCAAGTTAGAGAAACCGTTTGGATAAGCATCCAGTCTCTAAAACAGAAATATAGCTTTCACTTTCAGAGACTGACTGTGTCCAGCTCCAGAATGACGTTTCCAATCATCAATTGACTTCAATACCTGTAAAGTTGCCCCATTCTCCCAAGATTGTTTTATTTTGAATGAAATGTTGCTAGATGTTTCATAAGGGAAAAGGATATTATAGTGAATTCCTGAAGAAGGGTCTAGACCCGAAACGTCAGCTTTCCTGCTCCTCTGATGCTGCTTGGCCTGCTGTGTTCATCCAGCTCTACACCTTGTTATAGTGAATTCCTACAGCTTTTAATCTGAATGCTTTCATTATCATCTCCAATGAAAAGTGAATGAGTTACACAGAACAGGGAGAAGCCAGTTCGAACTGTCATTGTGCAGAATTCATTGAGTTGAGGTGGTACAGTATACCACTGTCTGAAATGGCCCCCACCACAATAATCAGGCTTGGTGCCGGAGATACAGGACATCCAACCTACCTTCCACATGACTTCTCCCTCCCCTTAGACTATCAGCTTCTTGATAGTCAAGAATCAACAACCAAATTGAATGCGTGGAAAACATCAGGAAGACTTGATGCCAGTCACATTAAACAGCCTGTTATCAGTCATTGGCCAGACTCTCACAGGGAATGGTCCCTGAACCAGGCTTGACATTCACAATCAGTGTATTCAGTGAGTGAGGGCAAGGGAAACAGAACAGCAGTAAAAACTTCTGCACCTTAAGATTTCCACATTTTAACTTGCTGTCTAACTTGACTGGGAGCTGCTTTTTTAACTTTGAGTTTCTACCTGGAATCAAGCATCTCTTTCAAATTTGACATTTGTAATTTTCGTACAAATAAGCTGGGTTCTACAGGAGCCACCTCCTCACCTACTATCTCGTCACATCAAACACTGAAAGGATACGCACTAATTTCATGTTGGTTTCAGCAGGTGCATTGCACTGTGGACAATTGGTACTGAACTGTAATACCTATCAAAAGAAGAAAACACGACAGTTAACAACACACAGTTCCCTTTGTGAAAATCATAACTGATTTTAGATTTAAATATTCTTCAGGTCAGTCTGGTCATTGGATGCAGAGTTTAAGTATTCCCAAACTGCTCCTAATCCTAACATCAGGAAAACCTTCTTTGAATTATTTTCCCTTATTCTTCCGAACAGTGTGGCATCACTGTTAAGTCTGTACTTGCTGCCCATGCTTAGGTTCTCTGGAACTGAGTGACTTGCCAGACCATTTCAGATAGCAGCTAAGTCAACCACATTGCTGTGGGTCTGGAGTCACATGTAGGCCAGACAGAGAAAGGACCGCAGACTTCCTCCCCGAAAAGGTATTAGTGAACTTGATGGGTTTTTACAATAATCAAATTATAGTTTCACAGTCACCATCGGTAAGACTAGTTTTGTATTCCAGATTTATTAACTGAAATTAAATTCCACCAGCTGACAATGCAAAAACGCTTCTGAAATCTAGAAGAGTAACTGATAAACATGAACCACACACCTTTAATTCTGATACACACCAGAAAATAAGTATCTGACATCCAAGGAAACAACACCATTGTTAAAGAAATCATTCTTTCGGTGGTGGCAGCAGGGGCGTGGGGTGGGTGGGGGCATGTAAGTTGAGAAATCAGAAATGCAAGGCAATCACTGGAATAACAGGTCACAGAAATCACCACACAGGAGACTTTTCGTCCCACTTTATCCACGCCAGCTGTCGAAGACAGCTTTGCTAGTCTCATTGCCTACCTTCTTCCCATAGCCAGTTACTGTTGTCTCTAAGTACTCTCAAGCAGCATATTCCAGATTCTAACCGCTTGCCGTGTAAACATGATTTTCCTCCTGTCACTGTTACTGCTTTCGCCAATCACACTAAATTGGTGTCCTCGAGTTCTTGAATCTTCCACCAATGGAAACAATTCCTTTCCATTTGCTTCAGATTTTTGATACCTCTTTACACATCACTGCTCATTCTTCCCTTTTCAGAGGAAAATAACTTCAGCTTCCCAAAGTTCTGTGTAACTGAATTTCCTCATTCCTGGAACTATTCCTGAAATCATTTTCCTACACCATCTCAAAAGCTTCACATCCTTCCAATATTGCTTCATGCAGAAAGAGACAGTATTCCTGCTAAGGCCAAACCTGCATTTGCTACAGGTTCATCATCCCTCCTTGCCTTTGTACACATAAAACCCACAGTTTTTATTTCTTCTTAACCACATTCTCAACCTGCCTTGCAACCTTCAATGATTTGTGCACGTAGACCCTCAGCTGCATGACTCAGCATTTCTTTACAATTTTATCATTGCTTTTTCTCACTCTTCCTAACAAAACATTTCATTTTGGCACTTACAAATAAATTTCAGTAAACTGTTCACTGCTATTAAGTTTCCTGTCAATCAGCCAATTTCATACCTATGTTGTCATTTGTCCTTTTATTGCATGTGGTTCAACTTTGTAGTAAGCTAATCATGTTCCTAGTGATAAAATGCCAGGTGAAGTCCATGTTCACATCAACTGCATTGCCCCCTTAAAAGTAAATCAAGCCAGTCAGTTGAACACAATTTACCATCAAATACATATGTTCCAAAGAAGGGCTCAGTGGACTTGAAACATTTACTGTTTTCTCTCCACAGATGTTGCCAGACCTGCTGAGTTTCTCTACCAATTTCACTTTTTGTTAATATAGAGGCTTTTTTTACAATTAATCTACATTCCAAATCATTTCCAAAAGCTTTTCCACTACAGAGTGGAAATGACCACTGGCAAGTAGATGCTGAGGTTATCCTTGCACTTTTTTAATAAAGGTATAACACCTACAATTCTACAGTCCTTTAGCGTCACCCCAGTGCCTAAAGAGGACTGAAAGATTAAGGCCTGTGTCTCTGCAGTTTCAACATTTACTTCCCCTAATATCTTCAGCTGCATCAGATCTGGTTCTGGTGCCTGATCAAGTTTATATACATCCAGCCTTTCTACCATTGCCTCTTTTCAAATACTGTAATATGTTGCAGTCCTCTTGGGAACACTTACCTCATTTCTTAAGTCATCCATGGCAGTTTTGGGTGTCTCCTCTTCTGTAGCTGCCTGGAAGGATAGCAGACAAGAAATTAAAATGTTGTTGAAAACAAAGTTCAATCACTCACTGCCACCGTTAGTTTTCTCTCAGTCACATGGATCACGTTTCCTGCACTGGGTTCCTTCAATGGCCGTTCGAATTTTAGGCTTGGGCAATCCCAGGAATGACAGCATTTCTTAAGTCTCCTTACACAAAATGGTGACTGAACAAATCCTGGTTAACTCAGGTCATTTATATACAGACCAGAAAACCATGCCCACCTGCAGTCCCAACATGCTGTCCTGATGAGCATCTCGTTTGTAATGAGTAACTGTTAATGCCTCATCCTTCTGTGGGGCATGGGGATTCTCGACAAAACTGTTTCCAGACGGATCATCAATAATCTGCACAAGGAAACCAGTTTAAGTGAAACAATAAAGCAAATACACTCTGAAGGAGGTAACTCATTTCCCTTGTTTTGTCCCACAAATTACAGCATAGGAACAGGTCATTTAGCCTTGTCATGTCATTGTCAGTGTTTATCCTCCACTCAGGGAAGACACTGATCTTGTTTGGTGACCCACCCTATTAGGCAGTTGAAGGAATTTATTCTGAAATGTACCCTTGGTCTGTGAGTCAATCACTAACTCCTATGGTGCATTTCAACACCCCAGAAACCTATTTCTGCTTCCCCAAGGAAAACAGTATGTATTTTTCCAGCCTAGCCTATCTTTTTGTAACATTCAAGCAAATAATTTTATGATCTCTATTCATTGCATTTGAGCTCAATTATTACAATGAAGGAGGCTCACCATTACCTTCTCAAAAGGAAATTAAGCAATTTTTTTTTAAAAAAAGTTCTTTTCCACACCCCATTTTCTCCAAAATACAATTACTTTCTTCTTTTAAAACTTTACATTTCCTAACACCAAATTAATTTTGTCAATTTTTGTCCTGTTTACTATTAATATCTCCTTGAAGTTTACTTTGAAGCTCTAAAATATTTTACTATGCATCCCAGCATCCAATAATTTGGGCATCTTTATTACCACAGCCAAAGCACCAATGTACTCCTTTTCAGAATTAGTCTGCATGACCAGTCCAGCTTACATGTGTATAAACAGCTTGCCTCCTGCAACTACTGTGCGCTAGAATTCATATTTACAGAACAACAGCAGTGACACACCAAAGCACAGAGAGAAAAAGCGTTAACTACCAGTGTGAATGGCATCTCAACATCTTTCAACTTCTTTAGCTTTTCAATAAATTCCTCAATCTTAGAGGCCACGCTGGGATCCACTGCCTGGGATAGAGATCATGAATAAGATATTTTGTTAGGTCAAATCCTGCAACAGATGGAAAAAATAAACATCAAACCTAAAGCACTAATTAGCATTCTCAAAATGAAAGGGAATGAGCAACAATTATAATGACCAGAGAAGTTGTACTGAGTAATGGTTGAAATAAATTGATAAGTCTCCAGGTCTTAAAGAATTTCATTCTAAGGTCATAAAAGAAGTAGCCAGTGAGATGGTTGATGCATTGGTTTTAATTTTTTAAAACTCATTAGATTGAGGGAAGGTTCCTTTAGATTGAAAAACAGCTAATGTAATTCCTTTAATCAAAAAAAGGAAAGGAGGCAGAAAACAAATTACAGGCCAGTTGGCTTAACATCTCTCATAGGTAAAATATCAGAAGCTATTAAAGATATTACAAGAGGGCACTTCAATAGGTTGAAAATAATCAGCCAGAACCAACATGTTTTGTCCAAGGGAAAACATGTCTATCTAATTTTGTTAACAAGGTGTAGAGCTGGATGAACACAGCAGGCCAAGCAGCATCGGAGGAGCAGGAAAGCTGACGTTTCGGGTCTAGACCCTTCTTCAGAAATGAGGGAGGGGAAGAGGATTCTGAAATAAATAGGGAGGCGGGGAGGCAGATAGAAGATGGATGAAGGAGAAGATAGGTGGAGAGGAGACAGATAGGTCAAAGAGGTGGGGGTGGAGCCAGTAAACGTGAGTGTAGGTGCGGAGTTGGGGAGGATAGGTCCGTCCTCCCTGGACTGACAGGTCAAGGGGCAGGGCTGAGGCTGGTATCTGAGAGACTGTAGAGCTCTGAGATGCAAAGAGATCTGGGTGTCTTTGTCATGAATTACAAAAAACCTTTGCTTGCTGTACCTGCACAATCATGAAAACAGAATGTTATGGATTACTGAAAGGGAATTGAAAGCAAGAGGAGGGAGATTATGCATCAGTTATTTAGGGCTTTGGTGAGACTGCATCTGGAGTACATTACTGGTGATCGTACTTACAAATGGATGTTAATGTGTTGAAAGTTGGTCAGAGAAGGTTTAATAGCCTAATGACTAGAATGAGTGGATTGCTTTACGAGAAAAGTTTTGATAGGTTAAGCCTGTATCGGCTGGTGTTTACAAGGGTCAGATGTGACTTAACTGAAACATAAAAGATTCTGGGGGGAGTTCACCGGATGTATGCGGAAATAATATTTCCTCCGCTGGGAGAATCCAGAACTAGGGGTCGTAGTTTAAGGATAAGAGGTGCCTATTTAAAACAGAGATGAGGAAATGTTTTTCTCGCAGAGGGTTAAGTGTCTTTGGAATTCCCTTCAACAAATGGAGTGGATGCAGAATCTTTAAATATTTTTAAGGCAGAGGGAGACAGATTCTTGATGACCAAGGGGGTGATAGATTATCAGGAATATGCAGGAAAGTACAATTTGAGGTTAAAATCAGATCAGCCATGATGTTATTAAATAGTGAAGCAAGCTATAATAGGCCATAGTGCCCAATTCTTGCTCCTTGTTTGCATATTGACATATTTTGAATTCTGCCCTTGTGATGAGATACCGCAACAACTGGGAGATTCTACAAAAGGAGACAAACGTGTGCAGCACAAATTCAATGCTGTTCCAGAATCTGAGCCAACCAGAATTTGAAGACAAGAGAAAAACAAACCACTTGTTACCTTCCGTGTAGGCTGGTCCTGCTCTAGACCAGTAACAGCTCTGTCAATCAGACCCTCAAGAGTAGAAAGTGCTGCAGAAACAGAAACAGCCCAGTGTAAGAACCTAACACTTCAACAAAATACATTCCAATACCACCAATCTATGACTAGCTACAAACAATTCCCATTAAAAGAAGCTCTAAGTGGATATCGCATGCTACAGTCTGAAATTTAGATCCAAGCTTTTAAATTATCAGCATTCAACAACATGCATACAGGGTGTATGATTAACAATCATTCCCAGTTTTACGACAGATTTTGAGATCAAGGGCAGAATTTGTAATTTAAGGCATATCGTATTTACATTTAGAGTCTGGATTTTGAACAAGAAGCACGTGGGTTTTCACCAGTGAGTTAGAAGGGTTAAATAATTAACTTGTCACGATTTCTGAAGACTTTTTAAAAAATTTTTTTTTGCACTGGGAAAGTTTCTTAAGTGAATAAAGTAAACACTGAAGATCATTAGTTTGCTTTCAGTTAGAAGTATAGGAATTGATATTTGTTCTGCCTCGGGGGAAACAGCTACAGCTTGGAAAGCTTTTGGGTTCAGTTCACAGATGTCTTGATTGAATCTGTTTATATAAACATAGTTTCTGCTGCTGAAGGGAGTTAGTTCAAAGCTGTTAGGAAATAGGTTACATCAGTGTGAGGGTTTTAGTGTGAAAGCTTCCAAGCGGAAGTACTTGGTAAGAACCCTGAAGGGGTTCCTCAAAGCTGAGAAAAGATTAAGCTCAGCTGTGTGACTACACAAGAAAGAAACTGCTTAACAAATTCTCAAAGCCCAAAAACAAGTAAAACCAACAGATGTGATAAAGGAGGGAATTCTCTCTGGTATAACAAGGTGTAGAGCTGGATGAACACAGCAGGCCAAGCAGCATCAGAGGAGTAGGAAAGCTGACGTTTCGGCCTAGACCCTTCTGCAGAAATGGGGGGGGGGGGGGGGGGTGGTCGCAGGGAGAAAAGTTTTGAGGATCTCAATGTTCTGAATGTAGACATTGTCGTGGTTGGGGCCAAATTGCGAAGGCCTAAATTTGGACTGTAGTCCATTGGGGAAGATCTGGTTCCGTAGGCAGGTACTAAGAAAGGTGGTGATGTGGCTGTAGTACCTGGTTTGCTTCAGGACGTGGTCAAGCAGTTTCAGGGCCGAAGAGATTACAAGGGAGTTGCAGTGGGAGAGAGATCCACTGAGGTTTTTCCGGAGGGAGGAGGGTAACTTCAAGGTAAGCATCCTTAGAAGAGGCTTCGCAGTGGGGTTAAAATTGTTTCAGAGATAGTAGGAACTGCAGATGCTGGAGAATCTGAGATAACAGAGAAGAAGGGTCCATTTCCAAAGAAGGGTCTAGGCCCGAAACGTCAGCTTTCCTGCTCCTCTGATACTGCTTGGCCTGCTGTATTCATCCAGCCCCACACCTTGTTATCTCAGATTCTCCAACATCTGCAGTTCCTACTATCTCTGAATTCTCTCTGGTGTTTGAATAAAGGGATATCGTTGGTGGAATATTGTATTTTACTGCGGTTTGAAATTTGTTAAATTGTTACATGTAAATAGCTTGGTTTGTTGTATTTTTTCTTCTTTCCTTTTGCATAATAAATTTCTTATTTTATAGTTAAAACTATATCTGCAACTTGCGAGTTTGTGTTACAGTGATAGACCACCCTGTCAAACTTTAAAAATAATCTGTCAAGCAGATTTCAGTCTGGGATCTGAGTGGTCCAGTAATAATATCAGCTGGAACCATAACACTATGTTGTTTTTCAGGATCACCAAAACAACAATTCAAATTTTTACAACTGTGATGTCTCTACTTATAGCAATTGATTTATTGCTTCAAAGGAAACAGGAAATTACTGGTGGTCTTTCGAGCATCACGAACAGGATCATTACATCAGAGAACACTAGGAAATATCAACATGCTACAGCATTTGTCATAAACATATACCCACGAACAGACGAAAGCAGCAAACAGGCTCATCAACAGCACTCATATGAAGATGGTACAACCACCTGCACTGCTGATCCCATCCTTTAACCACAGCAGGTGCAAACACAGGAAACGCCTCCAACCTCATAGGAAATTGTGCAAAGCAAAGCCCACTCTGCACCGCACCCCCCCCCCCCCCCAAATAAGCACAGAACGCTTCATATCTAGTTAACTTTATCTAAATCGCATGATATTCAGTTCACACTTTTATTTTGAGTATTACTTTAATCTTTGATCACAAAGCTATTCTCTTTACCCAAGCATGCTATGGAAAGCAATGTCAAAACATTCTTCCTGGCATTCAGCCAACACCTTTCCCTTCCATTCTAATCATCACAGACATTTTACATTCCCAAATAACCTGCCCAGAATAGGTCTTTTATTTCCTCACAGCCTCAAAGCTGGTATTATTCTGATTGCCCTCCATCTTCATTACAGCAAAGCCCAGAAGGTGGGGCTTTGACACTAGCGGCTCTGAATACCATGGTACAAACTGCTTACCTCCTTTCTGTGTGAATGGTGGAATTTCAAAGTCAAGTTCAGGAATTTTGGTCATAGCACAGTCAGTTTTCACAACTTCACGGTTCAGGTCCTACACAACACAGATTCACAACATCAGACAGGATTAAGGACAAATCATCTAAAAATACTGAACTGACAATATAAGTGAGCATTCAAGTCCATCAGTTCAACAGAATGACTTTGCAAGTGTTGCAATGAATTCCTGTCTTGTCCTATCAATTTGTGCTAGAGCCAGTGTTGTGAAAATAGTAATATTTAAGGAACAGAGTTCTATGGGTTTGCTACATTTGACCATTCCAAAACACTGGTTGCATTCAATTCTGCCTAGCAATTCGATCAGCATTTGGTACAAAGTCTTCAATAAGTCATTCATAACAGTTCCAGGGCCAGCTGGTTAGAGGAGGAAAGAGAGAAGCCAACCAGGCTGCTGTTAACTGAACTATATGGGCTTTGTGTCGTGGGTGCTCAACAAAGTCCTACAGCAGCCGAATAACTGTGTAGTGAAGGCTCAGGGAAGATGAGGAAGGCCTCAAAAGACACTAGTGCACAATTAATCGTTCAGTACAGCAAACAGTGAGGGCTGAAAGGCCATAAGCAATGTTTGCTTTGGGCAACTGAGCCAGATTAGAGCTCAGGAAACAAATCCAGGGGAAGTACCAGCTGGTGAAGCCCACTGTGAAAAACTAGAATTATCCCCAAGAGTAAATGCAGCTTGCAAGAATCCAGGGGAGCCTGGTCTCAGGAAGAGAGGCTGCTGAACTAGATCTTGAGCAGTTGTTGAAACAGTCCATAACTGAGCAATGTTTGAGGGAGTTTCAAGACCAAGTCATTGAAAGTGAAGATGTGTAGCCCCATGTAAAGTTTTAATGAGATTTGGTGGTCTAATAGCATCATTAATATTTAGGGAGAGGACTGCTGAGAAGTCTGGGATATGTTCGAATGCATTTGCTATTTGTTGTAGGGTGTTTGACCATCATTCCTATTACCCATATTTCTATCATGCCCATTTTGGGATGTTAGAATATCAGGCATCTCTATCTTTGTATAGTTGAAACCTCTGTCAATAATTTTTACATTCTCTTATTTAATTTTTGACATTTAAATTTTATTTGTACCAAATTAAATATACTTTGAGGAAACAAGTCAATATAATTGGTCATATCAGCACACTGGTTACACTAAAAACTAGCTATGACCTGGAGGTAGGCGCATGGCTGGGAAATTGAATGAATATTTTTGCCAAGGGACAAGATGCTGCTTAGTCTGTGGTGACACAAAGAAAACTCAGTCACAAGAAGAAATCAGATTGATATGGAAGTGGTCCTAGATAAGTTGTCGCTACTTAGAGTTGATGAGGCACCAGGACCATCCAAGGGTGCTGAAGGAAGTACAGGCAGCCCCCAGGTTGCAAGTAAGTTCTATTCTGGAGTCTGTTCGCAAGTCAATATGCGCGCAAGTCAGAACACAATATAGGGCAATATAAATTAGCCATTCGTAAGGTACAGGAAATATTTATATGTTGGATCTTTAAAATTACTCCCCTGTATGGGACCATATGAAGTACAAGCATTCATAAAATCGGGCAGTCCTGTAAAAGTGGAAATTGCAGACAAACTGGCTCTTTCAGTCTTCCCCAAGCTTAGGGCAGGTACCAGTCACGTGGAGAATTGCAAACATGACTCCCTTGTTCAAAAAATATTCTAAAGAGCATACAGCAAATACAGACTGATCAGTTTAGCTTTAATACTGGGAACATTTCTACAAATAATAATTCTAAATAGGAGACAGAGGGCAGTGGCGGAGGGTTGCTTTTCAGACTGGGGCCCGTGACCAACGGTGTACCACAAGTATCGGTGCTGGGCCCACTCTTTTCCTCATTTAGATAAATGATTTGGATGCAAATAATAGGAGGTATGGCTAGTACGTTACTTATAAAGTCTGTGTCTGATATACCTCTCTCACTAACACCTGAAGAACAAATGAGGGTCCAAAAGCTTGTGTTTTCAACTAAACCTATTGGACTATAACCTAGTGTTGTGAGATTTCTGACTTTGTCCACCCCAGTCTAACACCGGTACCTCCACTTAATCAGATAGGCCAATGAGCCAAGGAGTGACAGAAGGCGTTTAATTTAGATAAAGGCAAGGTGTTGCATTTTGGAAAGGCAAACCAGGGCAGGACTTATGCAGTTAATGGTAGGGCCTTGGGAAGTGTTGCCGAACAAAGAGATCTAGGGACGCAGAAGCACAGCTCCTTGAAAGTGGAGTCACAGATAGATAGTGAAGGTGGTGTTTGGCACACTTGCTTTCATTGGTCAGAACATTTAAGTATGGGAGTTGGGATGTCATTTACAGCTGTACAGGACATTGGTTTGGCCATTTTTGGAATACTGCATTCAATTCTGGTCCAGCTGCTATAGGAAAAATGTTGTTAAACTTGTAAGGGTTCAGAAAAGATTTACAAGGATGATGCTGGGATTGGAGGGTTTGAGTTAGTGAGATAGGGTGAATAGACTGGGAAAAAAAACAAAGTTGCTGGAAAAGTTCAGCAAGTCTGGTAGCATCTGTGAAGGAGAAAACAGAGTTAACGTTTCGGGTCCGGTGACCCTTCCTCAGAACTGGTGGTGGCTGGGAAAACGTCAGTTGATATGCAGAAAATAGGGAGGTGGGTGGGGTAGGGAGTAAACGATAGGATAGAGCCCAAAGAGAGAGACAGACAGTTGGACAGACAAAGGAGTTGCTAACGATCAGGCTGGGAGGGTGAATAGTTGTTAATGGGGACTGTTAGTGACTAACAACAGGGGATGTGTAATGGCAGGCTATGTGGTAATAAGACCTGGTGTGTGGGGTAGGGGACTGGGACATGGGAAAGTTTAGGCCCTAAAATTATTGAACTCAATATTGAGTCCAGAGGGCTGTAGGGTCCCCATGTGGAAAATGAGGCCCTTGAATAGACTGGGGCCTTTTTCCCCTGGAACGTTAGAGGCTAAGGGGTGACCTGATAGAGGTTTATAAAATCACGAGGGGCGTGAGTACGGTGAATAGCCTACTAGAGGGCATAGGTTTAAGGTGAGAGAAGAAATATTTTATAAGAGGGCCTGACAGGTAACTTTTTCACACAGAGGATGGTGCGTATACAGAACAAACTGCCAGAGGTAGTGATGCAGGTGGGTACAATTACAACATTTAAAAGGCATCTAGATGGCTATATGAATAGGAAGGGTTTAGAGGGATATGGACCAAATGCTGGCAAACGGGACTAGATCAGATTAGGGATGTCTGTCCAGCATGGACGAGTTGGACTGAAGTGTCTTTTTCTGTACCATATGACTCTATCATTAATAGTCGTGTGGACAAATATGGGTTAGCCAGGGGGAAGAAGCATAGCTTTCAAGGGAAGATCATGTGTAACTATTTTGCTGAAGTTTTTTTGAAACGGGAACAGAGACGATTGATTAGGGCAATGGTATTAGTATGGTGTATATGGATTTCCAAAAAACATTTGATACAGTGACACACAAGACTTGAGAGAAACATTACACATCATGGAATAAAAGGAACAAGAAACAATGTGGTATATAAAATTGGCTGACAAATTGAAAAGGGAGTAAAGGGCATTTTTCAAGCTGGAGGACTGTTGGGAAAGGAGTTTTCCAGAGTCAGTTTTGAGACCCTTGGTTTTCCTGATGTATTTGAATGAGCTAGAACTTGGTGTGCAGGGGACAGTTTAAAAAATTGTATTTGTTACAAAACTTGGAAAAGTAAACTGTGAGGAGGACAGTGTAGAATTTCAAGAGGCTCTTGTGGTGCGGTGGTAGTGTCCCTACTTCTGAGCCAGGAGATCCAAGTTCGAGTCCCACCTGCTCCAGAGGTGTGTAACATCCCTGACAGGTTGATTAGAAATTGTCTAGAACATTTTTAAAGTTGGAGGAGTGGGTGGTAGGTGGCAGATGATGTTCAATGCTGAAAAATGTGAGGGGTGATGCACTTCGGTACAAAGAACATGGAGAGACACCATAAAGAATACTCCTCTAAGGGATGTGCAAGAGCAGACAGACCTGGGATTGACAGATGGAGAGAGCACTTAATAAAGCATACAATATCCAAGTCCTTATTAATAGGGGCATTGAGTACAAGAGCAGAAGGTTGCACTAAATCTGTATCAGACAACACTTCAACCTCAGCCAGAGTATTGTGTACAGTTCTAGGTGTTGTACTTTAGGAAGGATGTGAACACATTGGAAAAAGCGCAGAAGAGGCTTA